GATTAATTTCGAGTTCTGAGGTACCACTGTACTGGTTATTCTGCCAGATTCCTCTGACATTTCTATGGTATAATGTGACTTACCAGGGTTACACATAGAGCAGCATTCATCACCCATTTTATATTCAGCCTGGCCGCATGCGTAACAGGGATTATAATTAACACACAGAAGAATGATTAAATATGTCTGTGAAAGAAAAAAAATCCCATTAGACTGTATGAAATCAGTTATCTAACCAAGTTACAATTAATCAGGTCACATACTCATTAAACTGACATGAGCCGTGACTAACAGCATGACAGTATATATGCTGCTTGTGTGACCTAAACAAACAGTTACATCAGAGGGACCTGGATAGACATAGATATTTCAAATACAGTTTAATGAGAAACATAGCTCATTAGTAAAATTACCAATACATCTTATACCTGAGTGTGAGATTAAAGTAACTACAGTCAGATGGTTAACAAAAAAAAAACATTCAATGCATTGCTGATTGAATGGGGAAATTTTAAATGTTAAAATGAAGACGATAAAATGCATGAAGTGCATGAGTAAACAGACCAGTTTATAGTGTAACTGGTCAATACGTTTTGATCTGCATGATGGGTTAACATGTTCACAATGTTTTACCAAAACAGCAAGACACACTAAGTGAATCTATAGAGCTGACAAGACATTCTGTGCTCTGGGACGTTCCCGCCCTGATCTGCCTGATTCTCGGCATTTCCTGATTATAGAGAAGGGACAGAAATGTAGAAGTATGAACAGACAACACAAAGTCTAGAAACAGCTACAAAGTATTAAATACATGTTACAACCTGAAGCAGAATAAACATGTTGTGAACATCCACTGGTTGAACCCGATATCCAGCACTTGAGAAATAACCATAAATCACAGATGACAATATCTTGGATTCACTTTCCGTTACTCAGCATTGCAGACCTCCTTCCCATTCTCTCACATTTACAAGACGACATCCTGGGTTGGAACGGGATATATTTAAATAAAGACAGGGATATTTTAATTTTTTTCTTAGTCTTCTTCATCTTAGATCAATTGTAAACATTTGATGCCGAGATAAAACCATGAACAATGTCTGTATGAGTTATTTTTCGACATTTTAAAAGTACTTTTACATTCTGTTTCTTTACAATCACATTGAATAACTATAGAAAACCATCCATAGTGCATAGGAAGATATTTCAACGAAACTTTCAAAGCAAAGACTCCATGGTTAAAGTAGCGCCGTGCCCGAAACTGAATCCTATGTTTACTTACAATGTCGAAGTCCAATATATCCGATTAAACTACATACGATAACGTTACCTAATGTTAACACTAAATTGGTAAATATATATTCGGTGCTTTACTCATTAAAACATACATTATGAGTACTAGTTTACTACTTATAGAATAAGTTATTTTTCCATACTCACCTCAAGTGTAAACGACCGCTGTTCCTTATAATTTCCTCTGTCCGACACTGACGTCTTGACGTATATAGTTGCGTGCCCCGGAATCTGCCTAGTCAGGTAGTTTGTTTCCTACGTGCGTCCGAAGGCAGAGCGGTTTCTGTATTGTAGCTCAGACAAGTTTGTTCAACGAGCTAGCAGCGGTCCATGTGAGAGCGAGCAAGTTTTAATCTTTCAGAGTGGCAGTTTTTTTGCACCCCTTTGGCAAGCGGAGCGAGGTAATGAATGTAATATCGAATGTTTGTGCAAGTTTCCACTTAAAGACATTCTCGCTTTATTTTGTAATTTAAATATGAAGTATAAAGCCTGTTTTTTTGTACGCGAGTTTTGTTTTTTAGAACGATTGGATGCAGTCTTTATTGTTGTATATTGTTTGTATTGTGTATTAAGCAGCTGTTCGATGTTGCAATTCTGTTTTATAACCATTTCTTTCAGTGAAACTTTACGTAATATACACTCACCTAAAGGATTATTAGGAACACCATACTAATACGGTGTTTGATCCCCTTTCGCCTTCAGAACTGCCTTAATTCTACGTAGCATTGATTCAACAAGGTGCTGAAAGCATTCTTTAGAAATGTTGGCCCATATTGATAGGATAGCATCTTGCAGTTGATGGAGATTTGT